GAACACTGGATCTATGCAGCTCTAAAGACTATAAATTTCAGAATAGAAATCGTAGGTAAGGAGTGTATGTGCTTTTATCTTGACTATAGTTGTCATATGCCCCTCTCCTTTCTCCATGAAACGGCCTGCCACTACAGGAGGTGGTGATTGTCTCAGATTGTCTCAGATTGGTTGCCAAATCCCTAGCTTATGCAAGTGGCCTCTTGGCCTAAATGAGCCTTCAAAATACCTGTATTAATTCTTATCCACCCCTGGGGGAGGTTTATGAGTAGCCTGTATCTCTTTAGATTATACCCCCTAGTAAGCTGTTAGCTTGACGAGGACCCATGCTATTTTGCTAGTGCAATTTCCTAAGTTTGGTATTTTCCTTTCTGAGCACTTCCTTTATCGTGTTAGGATCTACCGCAAAGAAGGTCCTATCAGGATCGATTCAGCAGGCATTCTAGGCTAGCTGATCAGCTTCATAATTTCATTGGACTCCCATGGACCCTGCTACCCACATCAGTGGGACAGTATACTTTCACTTCGATAATTCCTACGAACGTTAATCTCTGCATACAGACTAATGGCATAAACTTCTAGAGACGGTTCCTAAGGGCACTGAAAGCTTCAGCATAGGGACACATAAGCTTGCTCCAATACCCTGCTCCTAGACGCGTCTCTCCATAATAGAGGCACTCCCAGACGCCTGGCTGCATACATCAATCTTGAAGCTTCTTTCAAAATCATCTCTGGCGAACATAACTAATTAAAATTGGAAGTCTGGTTTTTCCTTGTTACTAATTGACAAGACCTTACCTTGTGTCACATATATGAAATAAGGAGCCATTAGAAAACTTCGTTGGGACCTTCATAGGGTTCATCATGTACTGATTTTTAAGTCGGAGTGGCTTTTTAATGGGAGCTTTCATCCATAGATAAAAAGCTACCTTATAATCTGTCTACTGGGGCAAAATATCGACGTAGTGAAGTGTCGGTCAAAACTTTCTATGTTAATGTTCGAACTCAGGGCCTTAGATTTATCTATATATGTATATATATATAGAGCTTTTTTCTTTGTTAAAACTTGGCTGAAAACTAATAAACGGATTTCAACCGAATTTGGACCACATATTCCTTAGACCTGTGGGGCAGACATATGCTGTATGTTTAATCCGCTAGATGGTGAGGAGTTGAGGTATTCAGAAATTTTTTATTTATAATCAAATTTTTATGAAATTAGTGACATATACTGGGGGTGCGACGAGAAATATCTTCACAACAATATATGCGCAAGGTGGTGGTAAAGTCGTGATATTCCTAAAATCTCTATTTATCGCCCGATTTTGATGAAACTAAAAACTCCGGTGCGATATTCAAATCTATACTTTTACAAAAAATGGATCCGCTAGGTGACCCTGATATCGAGTTTTCCAGAAAATCCATATTTAAGGTACGATTACAGCTATTTTTGATATATTTCCAATTGAAAATTATGTCCGCTAGTATTTTTATAAAACCCTGAAGTAGTAATGCACTAAAATTTCTCGGATGTAGTTAATATAACTTACTCTTAGCTAAACTGGCTATTATCTATGAAATGTCAATACTTCCTTCCGTTTCAACTTACATTTGGTGTCATCAAACCGACTAAGGATGGCGAAACCACGCCTGTAATCGCGCCAATGCCATTAGTTATTGCCATCAATGTACCCGCATAGTTGGGACTCATGTCGAGTGGTGTTAGTTTCATGCCAGCATAGAAAGCACCCATAAGACCCATGCAAATGGTGAAGAGCGTCACGACTACAACACGATCACAACCTGCATATGAAGCGGCAACCATGAAGATCGCTGGACCAAAGGCGGCTGCGCAGAAAAAGAAAAAAAAACAACGAAAATTAGAGTAACGAAATATAATTCCGCTAGCCACTAGCCCATGCCTTCCGACTTACCCAAACCAGTCATCATTTTGCGTACTTTTGTGATGCTCATAATCCTGCGTGTGATTAAAACATCGCCAACCCAGCCGGAGCTCAGCGAAAATATCCACATTACAGCGTATGGCAGTGAAGAGTAGAGACCATTGGCTTTAATGGAGAATTGCATAACGTCCGCCATATATTTGGGCAAATCTGTAACCATAATGTAAAAGCCCCAATCGTGACCGATTTGTGCCGATATCAGCGCCCACATTGGCAAGCTAGTAAGTATAGCCTTCCATGGTGTGGGTGCCAGATTCTTGTTACGTCCAATGGTGCCCATATGTTTGGTGAGATATTGCTTTTCGCTAGGCTTAATAAATGGATGTGTCGTCGGATCGCTGTAGCAAAGGAAGGTCTAAAAAGTGTACGTAGAATTAGGAAATGCATATATTATAAATCTCGACTTGTTTCACTTTGCTTTGTTTGCGTAATTTCTACTTACAAATATTATGAACCATACAATGCCCATGCCACCGAAGAAGTAGAAAACCACAGGCCAGTCATAGGCAGCCAAAAGGAAACCAGATACTAAGTTACCCAAAATTGTGCCGACTTGCCCACCGCCCAATACCAAAGCGCCCAATTTGCCACGCTCCTTCACTGGTACCCATTGCGCCAGCAATACACTCAACGCCGGGAAGGTAGTACCCTCACCGATGCCCATCAATATACGTACTATAATCAGCCAGTTAGCGCCGCCATGAATAATAGCAAGTGGCGTAATGACGGTGAAGAAGGCTGTGGAAAGAATGCCCAAACTGAGCGTCCATTTGCCGCCAAACTTCTCAGCCAATAGACCGCCGGGAATGTGCGTCAAAATGTAGCCAATGTAAAAAGACGAGAGAATATAACCCTGTAACTCCTCTGACCATTCATATTGACCGCTAGACTGTAGGAGAGAGAGAGAGAAAAAGAGAGAGATAAAGTGAGGGCGAGAGAAAGAGAAAAACAAATTATCTACTAATAATTGGGTGAGTAAGGCAAGAACTTACGCTTGACCCTGAGTCCAAATCATCGGCTTTACACACAGCCACTACTTCACCATTATCATCTGTATGATTCCTCTTCACCACCAGCTCGGTAATGGCTACCGAGAGACAAATACGCATAGTGTATGCGTTGAGCATGGCCAAGAAGCCCATAATCGCGAGGATCACGCGCTGTGGCACGAGGAAAACTAAAATGAAAAAATGAAATAAAGTGAAATTAGTAAATTTGAAAAATAAAATTTAAAAAGGCAATACGAAAACATGGTCTAAATATACCATACCACTTTACAAAACAAAAAAAAAACATCGCCGTACCGACCCTGCCTATTCTTGCAAGGTATGTAATTTGAAAAAAAAAAAATTGTTTTTCCGAACCTAGGTGTCACTTTTTACATTTTTAGTTGACACCTACATTCGCAATATATATTTTTTTTCAAATAGTTCCACTAGTATAATCAAACTACTTCCTTAGCAAAAGTTTAGTGGATTTTGGTGAGCCTTAATTTACTGACATTAGGGTACATACAGCCCTAATAGGGTGATAAGAACTGAAATCTGGTGGGTAACAGGTAGAAGGGCAATGACTTTGGGCCAAAAACAATTGTCAAAAACAGTGTTATATCATATTTTAAGACATGATACAAAAAATAAGGTAGTTTCAATAAACCAATTTTTGATTAAAAAGCAGATTTTTGACAGTTGCTCAATTGCGAAAAATTCGAAGCGGCGCTACCCAATTTAAATTTTTTGGTGAAGGGGATTTTATATCAAAAATTTGGGATTATAAATATAAAAGTTGTATAAACCTTTACCTTAACCTTTTAATTAATATCTTATCTTAAAAATGTTCAAATTTCACATTAAATTCGATAACAACTCGCCAAAATCATTATTTTTAGATTGATAAAACTTTAGCGAATATATCGTCGGTGATACTGCAAAACGTTCTATTTATGTCACTTATTACCTCTGCTGCTTAATTGATCTGTTATCTGTATCTGATCGCTGCTGGCAATCGTTCATCTTCATCAGCCAAAGGTAGACAGTCAGTTTGTCATTCGTTTATTAGGGTGTAACGATTTGCAGATGCATTCCGGTGCAAGTAAGAGACCATACATATGTGTAAGTGTCAAGACATAGTCCGTTATGATTTATCACCGACGATATCTCAAATTTTTTTAGTGTCCTTATGTCATCTGATTATTTCACAATATAACTATGGAGACAATAACCCTAACTTATTGTACGAATAACCGAAGCGTACCCAACAAAATACCTTTTGCTTGTAAAAATTTTTATTCTAAGAACAAAATGGTTTTTAAATAAACAAAGAGTTTAAAATTTGAAGGATTTTAGATTTTGGGTATGGTAGCATGAAATGTCACAATCTGCTTAATTGTCAGGTGGCGACGAAAAAGTGACAATGGAATTACCTTCTTTTATGTAGCATGCTTTAAGATGATACTGTAAATGTAAATGCCGAAGAGATGACGAAAAATTAAAAAAAAAAACCAACCTCTACGTTCGGGGAAAAAATTTCAAATTGCATTGCAAGAATAATAATTAAAGCGATTTTTTTTTTGTGGTACGGTCTAATGTTCATATGGAATATATGAAAAAAACTTCGGTTTCTTTAAGGGCCGTTCAAACCTTACTTGGTAGTTAGCTTGCAATTTAAACTAAACTAAAAATCGAAAGTAAGTGGCCGAGTGTGCGTCAACTCTGCGCTGTGGAAATTGCATTAAGACAAAGATTGATCGTTCACTTGTATTCGTATCGTCACAATTAAATGTTGTCACACACTGAAGAGAGAGTGATCGAGCAATCAATCAAACAAATCAATTTTGCTATCTTTTAATTATTTAAATAAAAAGAAAATCACTTAAAGTGAATGGTTCTATCAAATTTAACTAAAGCAATTAATTACAAAACCAATTACTAGTGAAATTGCATGAATCGCTTATATCGTGTCAAATCTAATTTACACAGATTACACGCAATACTGGAAGCGAGAGCGTAAATTTAGCCACATACTGTGGTTACTAACAAAATTCGAACGACACGGTAAGCTAAGTCACTAACTATTTGTTTTTGTTTTGTTTTATAAAACAGCCGAAACTCTGAAATTAAAGAGAGTCTAAGCCGTCCACTAAGAATATTCGATATTATTTCAATCATGAATTGATATATTTCATTGCATGTGAAATCGATTTTCCGACATATTGTTCGCGCTGAACAATATCGATATCGGAAAATCGATATAAAAATCGTGTTTAATGATATTCATCGGAAGGCATTGAGTTTTAATGACATGCAGAAACACTTTTTTCATACTGTTATGAAAATATTCTCCATGTCGTATTATTATTTTTGCGTAGGAAATTTTATTTTATTTCTTATAATAATTATTGTAGTTGAAAAATAAATTTCAAATTAAGTATTGATATTGCGAGTAAACTATCGGCCTCTTCGATATATCGAGCTGTGAGATATCGATTCAAAAAATCTATTATCGCACCATGAAATATCGATATCATATCGAACATTCTTCCAGCAAAGTGTTCGATAAACTGTGGATAACACCGTGCAACAAAAACCAAAAATTTTTAAAACACACGAAAAAATATATATATTCACAAAGCTAGGAGCCATATATAGTAAAACTGCGTTTTTAGTTTTTCTCTCTAACGTCAGGATTTTTTTATAAAGGACTTTGAAATTTCTAGGATATGATTGAATCGAAAAATGATTTAAAAGATTTGGTGCAGTGCAGAGTAAGAATATGGGTATCAATTAAAAGGGGAAAATTTTGAAGAATTGAAAAAAAAATTTAATTTTTTGGTGCACTAGGAGGAATAAGTGTTGAAAATGTTCTTTTAAACTTTATCCTTGAAAATCCTTGGAAATTTCCAATATTTATTTTTGAGAAAAATATATGTCAAGGACTAATATGTATTTATTTGTTTTAGATAAAACAAATTTCGAACTTCTCTTTATTAGTTATAAATAGTTGCAATATACATAAATGAAGATACGAACTTAAAAAAAAATAATAAATCATGTTTTTTGATTCTTTCAACCAAGAACAAGCAGGAAGCGCCAATAAATGTATGTATGTGTTTAAAACTTAAAAAAAGGATATTGCATACAGGCTGAACGTCAAAAAAAAAAACTTAAAACCTACTATATTTGAAGTGCAGTTTAAAAGTCAAAGCAATTCTTTTACACAACGCGAAAATTTTTTCTGTATTCTGAATCTCAAAGGCTTTGAAATGCCTCTCTTGTCATGCTCGAGATTTTCGATTTTGTCCCTTTTTTCAAAATCGCACACTGTGTGGCGCTATGGTCGGTCGACATATTACATATTTATGAAAATCGTATTTATGACCAAATTCGAATTTAACTTACGTAATAAACAAAAATCATTCGAAATGCGTTAAGCAATGGTATCCATTAAATTTGAGCTCGGTTTATTTAGTCTGAATGTATATTTTCAAAGGGCTGCATTTTTATATGAGTCAGTGTACATACATACATGACAACAAATAACTGTAATCAGATGCACATTAAAATTAAAATTAATGAAGTTCTCAGTAATCGCACAATCGGCACTAGTTGTTCACAGAAAATTATCGAATTAGCAAAACAAAATTTTATAAAAAATTGCATTTTTTCATTTGAATTACATTAAATTGACTATGAACTGTGGCGATAAAAAAAAAAATATAACTATGTAACGTCTGTGCGGTCGCCGGAAATACTAAATTCCTACGACAAGTTATTCGCTCTCCCATCCGCAATTGGATCTGAGTTACTATAATTTGTCTAATAGCGCTGAGTTAGTACAAAGTTAGGATAGTTAATCGAGTTAAGGTACGCTCGGCGTACAAGATAGGATAGATTGACGGCTATCGGGTAGATGAGATGAAGTAGCCTGGGGCCATTGATTAGGGTTCAAGATAGACTATGCAGTAGGGACAGTTGTCTATTCCGAAGTGCTTGGTACTGCTCAGGACTAGCGATTGTCAAATCGCACCAACATATTGCAAGCTGAAGTTGCGCATGAGTGTTTGTGAAGCCTATAGGATAACTACTTACTTAGGAATATCGTTATCAGAAAAAATAGAGCTATATGAAGGTTTTGAAGAAATTCTTCCAAAACAAGAAATCTCTACGAACTTTGAGGTATCCATTCTAAGTAGAGCTCTCTGGAATAAAGGGAGCCCCTATTCTGAAACTATGCAATGGGGAGGTTTGGTATACAGATGGATCCAAAATTGAATATGGAAAAACTGGGGCTGGTATAATTAGTTGGGCCGAACTTATGGGCAGTTAACATTTTTCAACCATCCTTGGTGCATCAGACAAATCTTGGAAATACATCTGCCTTAAGTCGTGACAGTCAGGCCGTCTTACTAGCACTGAAGTCCCTGATAAGAACATCAAAGCCAGTAATGATATTTTCCCAAACTAACACTCTTGAAAACGAGAACACATTACTACTGGGCGTGAGAGCCACAAGGACAAGAAGGAAAAATACAGCGCTTCAACTAAATTCTATGCTCCGAAACCCGTCTGTGGACTAGCCAAAGCGCAAATTTAAATTATAAGCCAAACGAACTAGATTAAAAAAAATTTAGAAAATATTTTAAGAGGGTTGTCACCTGCTTAAAAGTTAAATGCCATTTAAATTATAAATTAAACGAAATCGCACAATATGGAGTAAAACGAACGAAAACCACTTTGAATAAATATTTTAAGAGGGTTGTCACCTGCTTAAAAGTTAAATTCAGTTTTATAAATAAATTAAATGAAGTATTACAATATGGATTGCAAACGAAAGAGATTTGAGAAACATTTTGTTTGAACGTATTTTAGTGTAGGATATTTTTTTATAGGGTTACCAACTGTTTAAAAAGTTAATTTCAATTTATATACATAAAGTATGGATTAGCTATAAAATTTATATAGTTCGTTTTTGTACTGAAATGGCCAATGTAGTTTGAAGTTTGACATATTGGCCAACAATGACAATAATCAACTTTTTGCTATGAAATTTATTATTTACGGTGATTTTTTTTCTTAAATTTGAAATCATAACGTTAAACCGACTGAGTTTCACGTGGCTTTATAAATCGAAATAATATAAATTTTATGTAGCTTGTAAGGCTTTTTAAATCTTTTTTTT